GCATGATGGCTGGGGGATTCTGGGAGTTGAAGTCCACCCCTCTTAAAGCATGATGGCTGGGGGATTCTGGGAGTTTAAGTCCACCCCTCTTAAAGCATGATGGCTGGGGGATTCTGGGAGTTGAAGTCCATCCAATTTAAAGCCTGCTGGCGGGGGGATTCTGGGAGTCAAAATCCACCCCTCTTAAACTTGCCAAGATGGACCAGCTGTGATATAGCTGGAGAAAGAGATCCACCCTCCCAGTGGGAGAAAACTTACGGAGTTCCTTGACCAGTAAGGAGATCAGCCCATCGTCGATAAAGATCCGCCCACCAACGCTCACAACTTTTGGCAAGTTGGCGTAATCCACCCAAATCGTCTGCGCGTCGCATTGCTCCCGGAAGGCCGGATCCGTGGTCACGATCAAGCGGGATCCTTTGGCGAGTTCTACTTCTTCGTTCTCGCCCTGGGAAAAGATCACGGACCAGATGGATGGAGGGGGGTGACTCCCCTTAACGACGGGTGTTGCTAAACGACACCGATGGGAACCCGAAAAAAAAAAAGACATTTTTTTTGGGGGGGGGGGGATTTATCCCTCAACCTTACCCCTTTAATCAACCCCGTCCGGATTTCAGGGCCTTTGGTGTCCAAAGCGATGGCCACCGGCCGGTAGACGAGGGGATTAGTGGCCAAGCTTTTCGTGGCTTCCCGGATGTTTGCAATGGATTGGGCGTGGTACTGAAATGAAATGGAGTTGAATTCAAGGTCTGCAAACCCCCTTCGTTGCCATCTCAGAAAACCTTCCTTCCTTCCTGTTGGACTAGAAGACCTCGGAAGGTCCCTTGCAACTCCGATATTCTCCTATTCCTTCCTTCCTTTCTTCCTTCCTCTGATTTGTTCCTTCCTTCTGCTCTCCTTCCCTTCTAATCTTTCCCTTTCCTTTCTTCCTTTTCTTCCTTCCCTCCATCCTTCCTTCCCTCATTCCTACCTTCCCCTCTAATTCCTTACTTAGTTACTTCCCTCCTAATCCCTCTTTTTCCTTCCTCCCTTCCTCTATAATTCCTTCCTTCCCTTCTAATCCCTCCCTCTCCTTCCTTCCTTTTCTTTCTTTCTCTTTCTCTTTTCCTTTCCTTTCTCCCTTCATTCCTCCTTCTCTTTTCTTTCCTTTCTTTCTCTCTTTTCCTTTCCTTTCCTCCTTCATTCCTTCCTCACCTTCCTTCCTTCACCCTCTATTTATATCTTTCTTTCTCTTTTCCTTTCCTTTCCTTTCCTCCTTCATTCCTCCCTCACCTTCCTTCACCCTCTTCTTTCTTTCTTTCTTTCCTTTCCTTTCCCTTCCTCCTTCATTCCTCCCTCACCTTCCTTCCTTCACCCTGTTTATATCTTTCTCTCATTTCCTTTCCTTTCTCTCTTCATTCCTCCACCTCTTTCCCTTTCTTTCTTTCTTTCTTTCCTTTCTTTCTCTTTTCCTTTCCTTTCCTCTCCTTTCTCCCTTCATTCCTCCTTTTCTTTCTTTCTTTCTTTCTTTCTTTCTTTCTTTCTTTCTTTCTTT